GAGGTAGTCTACATCAGACCGGTTCGGCGCCTTCTCCTGCACAGGCCTCGATGTCTGAACTAGGTGGCTCTTCGTCGCGGATTTTTGGGGTGAAGGAAAGGCACTTCGATTAGAATCGTTGTCTTTTTTGATTGCTTTATTGTCAATTGCCTTTCCAGCCCCTGTTCAGTCCTGACAGGGTTTTTGTTTCACTTCTCAGACCCCTAAACCCTAACCTTACACCCTCATTCCACATGCCTCGCCTGGATTGTCCGAGTGCGAGCGCCGAAACCCTTCCTTCAGTCCTGGGAAGCTCGGATCTTGAACTGCTGGTACCCCCTAGACCCAAAACCCTAAACCGCCTTGGCTCAACAATACGCAAATTCCCCTTCACAGCCTTTTCTGAAGCCCAAACCCTGAGCCCTAAATCATAAAACTTCAAACCCTCAGGCCTATTCCCCCAAACCATCATACAACCCTTATCATTAAGCCTGTCTGAAACCTTTCTAAGATATTATGAGACCTTGAGGAGACTCCAAAACCAACTACATAAGCCAGCTAATTTGAATCGTTTTCAGGATCCCTCTGTGATTCAAGGTATGTTCTTGCGAACTCTACAGCCCCACAGCCCCGAAACCCTAAACACAACCTCGCCAGGCTTGTCCGAGAGTAAGCGCCGAAACACTCTAAGAGCAAGCTTTCAAGATCCCTCTGTAATTTAAGGCGTGTTTCCAAAGCATTCAGCGCTTTCTTGCAGTCTCTGAAAACTCCTCGAAAAGGAGAGTGGCGAACAGCCGATGGATCTTCCGGGACTCTGACGGGAACGAAGGCTTTGGCTGGCCTGGCCCTGGGTGGGCTGTGGCATCTCGCCAAGGGCCCCCTAAATCCTTGAGGGCTTAGGGTTTTAGGGTTTAGGGGTTTTAGGGGTTCAGGGTTTATAACCCCTAAACCCTAAAGCCCTAAGTGGGAGGGAAAAAGAACCCTAAACCCTAAACCCTTTTCGGGATCCTTGAAGCGGTTTAGGGTTAGGGGGTGGCATCTCGCCAAGGGCCCCTTCTAGGGGTCCTTTGAAGGGTAGGGCACCGTTTCAGTCGATCCTTTCAGCCCCCTTTAAAGGTACTACTATAGGGTTCTATAATAGCGTGGATGATATAAATCCTGCATTACCTTAAGAACCCCAAAACTACGGGAACTATGGTGTATTCCTTATCATGGGTAATGCAGGATTTATATCATCAACCGTACCCACGGAAGGAATGCGCATTTTGACACGATTTTAGACCTGAACCCAAGAACTGTCACTAAACGGACCTAGGTTTGGGTTTAGGGTTTAGGGTTTAGCGTTACCGCCATGTGCAGTCTTCCACAGACAGGCTTTGACAGCTCGTCATCGCCATAGCACGACGCACACGAAACGACCTTGTCGCACGATACTATCGCCTGAACACCTAAACAATAAACCCTAAACCCTAAACCCTAACCATAAACCCTAAACCCTAACCAGAAAGCCTAAACCCTAAAACCCCCAGGCCCTAGCCCCTGAGCCCTAAAGTAGAGGACACTGAGAGGCCGGCCATGCAGCCGCGGATCTTGCCAAACTCCTTGGCACTCAACCTCGGCAGTCGGAGTTGAAAAGGAGCTTTGGTTTGGGGGCTTGGGGTTTAGGTTTAGGGTTTGGGGGTTTGGGGGTTTGGGGGTTTGGGGGTTTAGGGGTTTAGGGTTAGGCCTTAGGGTTTGGGATTGCGTCTTCTGGCTATGCCACAGGTCAATATGCAAATCCGATTCGGCCAGGTAAATGTCCGATCCCTAAAATGAACATCCCTCCACATGTGCATCTCATCGTCCAGGGTTCCCCCCGTCACGCTCTGAGGTCCACTTCCCCCAAGCCTCCTCGTCACTGGCTTCTCCGCTGGCGGTGGGGACGCGGTCGCTCGGCCTGGACCCTCCCAGGTCCCCGGCTCCTGCGGTTGGGCACACCCGAGGCCCACAGTCTCGCCTGTTGGCCTGCGCGAGGAGGACAAAGTACCGCGTACGGTACTTCTCAGCCTCGTGAACGCGACTTTTGCCAAATTTGCTATGGGCCAAAACACTCTCAAGCATCATCGCTCCTCCTCCGCCTTCTCCCACCGCTTCTCCATCTTGGCCTTCTCCTCCTTCAGGCGATCGCGCTCAGCCTGCAACCACAGCAGCATTCAAAACATCTGAGAATCTGAGTGCAGAACAGGTCAGGCCTCATGGAGAGCCACCTCCCTCTTCCTAAACCTTAAACCCTAAACCCCTAAACCCCTAACCCCCAAACTCTAAACCCTAAACCCCCAAACCCTAAACCCTAAACCCCCAAACCCTATACCCTAAACCCTCAAAAAGAGAGGCCCAGAACCCCAAGGCAGAAACCCGAATCCCTCCGGCGAACCCTTGCGGAAGCCTGGAAAGAACCCTGAAACGCACCCCAAAACCCGGGTTTTCGGGTTTAGGGCCTAGGGTTTTAGGGTTTCTAGTTTGGGGGTTTGGGGCTTGGGGTTTGGGGCTTGGGGCTTAGGGCTTAAACCCTGAGCCCCAAACCCTGAGCCATGAAGATTATAAACCCACCCTGGACCCTAAACCCTGAACCCCAAAACCCCAACCCTCCGGGACTTTCCGAAAATTAGGGGTACCTTAATTTGGGGGGGGTCCTTAGAATAAGGATCCGCACTATTTTAGGGTGCTATATTAGGGTCCCCCTATTTTTCGGAAATCAACATGTGAAGATCTTGGGCCTCCGTGTCCTACGCCCCGGTCTTCTGATTTTAACAGATCTCGGCGCTTCTGCTCGGGCTTTGACCTTTGAACTATGAGTTTTTATTGTCCTTCGTAAGGTTCCAGGCCCGGTTTAAAGGTTTGGAGTTTATGGCTTCGGGTTTCGGGTTTGGGGTTTAGGGTTTCGGGTTTAGGGCAAAGTTCGTATGAGCTCGTATCTGGTAAAGTCACGGAGTGCCCCTGAGCCTTACCAGTACCCGGACAGGGTCATGGCAAGCCCGATGCTCAAACCCTCAAGCGGACATCCTCCAGCCGAACTACCCAAACCCCAAACCCTGCACCCTCAAACCCTAAAGCCCTAAAGCCCTGAACCCTAGAACCGGAAACCTTCCTTCATTGTACCCTTACGCAGCCCAATGGAACCCTTAAAGGAACCCCTTTTGAAAGAAAAACGTCCAAAACCCTCCAGTTCCGGGGCCCCGAATGACCCACAAAGGCCGAGGAATCGTCTGATCCAGCGCCGACTGCCGCAGCGTGCTGTTCAAGCGGAGCAGCTCCTTTCCAACATCTTAGGGGATTCCTCCAAAGGAACCCTTGAAGGAAACCTTAAAAGAACCCGTAAAGGAATCGCAGAGGTTTTCTTTATAGGTGCCGTGGTCTATAGGAGGAACCCTTTGAAGAAGGTACCTTCACCGAGCCATCTTCAAGATGCGCCTAATGTAGCAACCTGATTAGGATGCTACATGACATCGATTATCTGGTTATAGGGCGAGGATTTATTGATCTGGTTCCTACACTACGTGAGTATACTGCTATGATTATCGTCAGGAGCCGTCACCTGCCGTCTTGCTCATTCTTCAGCACCATTCATTGGGAAACCCTAGAAAGACTCATTTCTGAAAGTCCGTAGACAAGCACACTAAGGCCTGTATAAAGCCAAAAAGCCTCCATGCCTGACGAAAGCTATCGACCTCTATTTAAAGGATCATGGGACTCAGCAACTAAGACTGTAGATATGTAAATGAGACCGCTATACTTATGATTACTTACCACCCCTGTTGAAGTACTTACAACCTTACTTGTCATTACTTCTGGCCTCAATACGACGCCTTGTACACCTTGCTTACAAAGGCTGTGATCCTCCAAATCTGAAGGACTACCCTGCTCCTGATACGGTTGATAGTATAAATCCTGCCTTACCCATAAGAAGGAATATACCATGAATCCCACAGTTTAGGGTCCTTAAGGTAATGCAGGATTCATATCATCAACAGTAGTTTCGGCTTCAGCCATGCAGTTAGATCTTGGATCGTACGGCCTAAACCCCAAACCCGAACCCCGTAAGTTTCCCAAACAGTGCAACAGCCCTCAATTAGAGAATATGCCTTTGATCATAGCAGGACCCTTGATGAGACTGAGGAAGCATAGCAGGACCCTTAAGAAGACTGAGGAACAGGCCTTAAAGCGTAGCAGGACTCTTGAGAAGACCGAGGCACATCATGTGCCTAAACCCTAAACCCTTAAACTGTGGCTTAATAAGATTTGAGGTCGATGCCTTAGTTATGGGATTTTGGAAAGTCCGGGTTCTCCAGCGGGGTCTGGGGTTTAGGGGTTCAGGGTGTAGGGGTTTGGGGGTTTAGAGTTTAGGGTGTAGGGGTTTAGGGCTTAGGGTCAGCAACAGATCTTGCAGTCAGCAATAGATCCAAGGTCGTGATTCTTGGAGCTTCAAGTTTTTTTTACACTCGCACGACCGCAGAGCCAGGTCATGTCCGACAAACACAAACACTAGGCTAGGGAAGCGCAGCTCGCAGCCAGCTTCAGGCTTAAGGAATATGGAAGTCTGACGTCTTGCACATAAGCAGCCAGAGCAGGACGTAAAACACTGTGACGGTAGGAACAGAGAGGACTCTAGAACAGACCCTGATACGTACCAGTCTTGCCACACAACCAGAGATTCAAAAACTAACATGCCCTACACTCCCTACCCGTAACCGTACACCGTACACATAAAGCCCATATACCCCAGATCAAAGAAGCTGTTCAGATGTTCTGCCTTCTGGCTTCCTACGGTTGATGGTAGAAAAACCTTAGCATTTACCCATAATTAGGACACATACCCATAATTCCCATAGTTTAGGGTCCTTATAAGGTAATGCTAAGGATTTATATCATCAACAGTATTTCGGGGGTTCCTTATTATAACTAACATTGTACAATATACCCCAAAATACCACTCTGATTATTAAGGCCCCTGGACCCTAATGGCCTCCTATGGGCCAGGGCGCCGGGGCAAGGTCTGGATCAGGGAAGATGCCGAAGACTCGACAGCTCAAAGTCAAGGCCTGCACGGGAAACTTGGGTAGTTCTCTAAATTAGGGGGTCCCTTTTTGGGTCCAACATAAAGTACGGCAACATTATAAAAAAAAGGGAGCCTAAAAGGGAGCCTTATTTAGAGAACTACTCATTTGAGGCACAAGGAGCTATGGCCAGGGGCTTTAGAGTACGGGTGGGGGGGGTTCCATCTCAATGACTACTTCCGGGAACGTCGGACGGTGTAGCAGAGGCTTGAAAGGCTTGAGGCTCAGGGCTTCAGCTTCGGAGCTCAAGGTCCAATGCTCTTCTCTTCTCTGGTTTAGGGCTTATGGGGTTTATAGGGTTTATAGGGTTTAGGGTTTATAGGGTTTAGGATTAAATGCTCTTCTCTTCTCTTTGTGGTTTGCGGAGGAATGGCCTCGGAATTTGAACGAAGAGACCCGCATGCCACTGCTCGGACACTCCTCAAGCGCCACGCCCCGGATGGGAACGCCCCGCCTTTCGCTGTGCTTCCATCAGGCTAAGTGCATCGAAGACCTCACCTGAGCATTCGATGGGATAGCAGGCGATGTGCAAGCCTAGGTTCCTGAGTGACCCCTAAATAACACGGCGACCCTTCCTCCAACTATTGGGTTTGAAAAAAAAGGGCAACAGGGTACCACGCAGGAACCTAGAAGCTGTAACACGCCTGGGCGCAAACCCCGGTGCTCGAAGTTATGCCGGGCCCAAAGGCTTGACTGCGGTACGGTGTGCTCAGCTTCCGTGCCCTAGCGACTGTCGTTTAATACGCGAAACTGCATGGAACTGCCATTGCTAACTTGCGGGGAACTGCAAAGAACTGGCAGAGACCTCTTGCCCAACTCGTGCCAGCACCAGAACCCCCGGGCCACAAAAACACATGTCTCAAAGAAAAACATGAGAGGCCAGCTCGTTAACCACGGCGATGAGATCCTGAGGATACTCCTTTTCTCAACGGTCTCCCGAAATCCTCCCACTGAAAGTACCTAAGCCGGATCTTTCTTCTGATTGTGCACCAAGGTACTCAGTGTGCTTGCTGGAGCCACCGTGATGGCTCCATCCGAACTGATGTCGAGGATGGGGTGGCCAGCAATGAGTCCTCAGAAACGTTCCTAGCTCCCACCTTGGACAGTACCAAAAAACCACAAAAACACCAGAGCAGATAATGAAGTGGACGGTTCCACCTGTTCAAGCAAAATAATATAGGAGTTTCTATGCGGCAAACACCTGACCCCAAAAGTAGATGAAGGGCTACTTCTTATATAGGACCCTTACTGTTGGCTGCTGACCTGCAGATCATCTAATGGATGACCTGTTCGACTAGCTTACATGCTTCACCCAAAGTCCTGTGCGTTTCACTTGCCTTCGTGAGGCTCTACATGTCACGCGGTCAAGGACACAGCTTCCGTACAAAACCATGGCAACATTGCTTTTCGAGAAGGGTGTTGCTCTACCTTATAGACTCAAAGCCTGAAGGCTACACTGACTACACTCTTTGGTGGCGGCTCGAAGCCACTTCGAGCCTTGTAAGCCCTGCCCCTCAGTTCAGTGTCGAGGGTCTTCTCAAGTCGGCAGACGTACGTCGTAAGCTCTAATCCCAATTGACGGGGTTGATGCCTGGAAAGTCAACCCTGGCACCTTCAAGCCTGTATGCAATAGTCAGCTAAGGGAAAGGTAGGGGAAAAGGTCCCAAATTAAGGGCCTAGGAATCTGCAAGTCTACCCTGTCCAGCGGGAGCTTCGTCAAATCTTCTCTAACCAAAGGTTTAAAGAATGAGAGCTTACGTTCAGGGTGTAGAGGATCTAAGATGAATTGTAACGTAGCAAGAGGCGGACTGATCGGATTCTAAAAGTACCATGATGGAGCCTTGAAGAAAATGGACCCCGAAGATCACCTTGACGCACAGAAGGTTGCTGGAATCCTTCTCATGGGTGCCCCTGCAACACAAGGATAAGATCCGTAACCAAGCAGAAGGGCCCATGTTCAAGATACGGTCGTAGCTGAACTTCGTGGAGGCATCTGCCCCGGAAATGTCACAGGCCATGGCAAAGGTCCTCAGCGTTTCGGGTTTCGAGAGTTCTGGAATGCTCGAGAGACACCTGTCCGGGTTTCTTCACAAAGTACTGATGCAGCTAAGTGTTTGACATCCATCTCATGCAGGTTTGGATCTTTCCGGAACACCTCTACGGTGTGAAGACGCGGTTCGGACAAAAATGGATCTCCCAACAGCAACACCAAAACGCAGTTAACAAAAAAACAAATGTGGTTTTCGAGCCATTCTAAACTACCGTACTCCACTCCATCTGCCAAGGGCAAAGTAGCTCTGAGCTCAGAGGAAAAACTTCAGCATCGAATTGTCTTCGGCAGCACCACACCCCCTGAAATCTCCAGCCGCCTACGCAAAGTCCTACCCTACAACAGCGCGTGAAACGCAGCTGACCGATGAGGGTCAGGCGTTGTCAGTGCTTCAGACTTAGAGCTTGCTCTCCCAAAGATGCAGGCAAGCCTGCGATATCACATCCAGGGGAGGGAGGGGGCTCAAGAAAACAATCCCCTCCACAAGCTCGGGGTGTTCAATCCCTCCGTCTTGAACCTTCGTATGGGGGGTCACAACATTTAGTACTACGACTCCCCTGAGACCGTCTGAAAGACTGTCTGCAGGCTGCAATGTGACCATGATGATTCCTAGCCCAAGCACACCGCCAACGGAGAAGCTCTAAATCCTTGCGGGGCATCCTAGAGTCCTTAACCTATTCTTCTTCTTGTTCTCAGTATGAATATGAAAAACTAACTTACTTACTATTATGAATATTACGATGATTAGGAGTAGTATTAGAAATATATTGTTCTTATTACTATTGTTATTATAAAACTGGTGCCAAGGTGCCAGGGCTTCATGAGTCCCTGCTCCTTGTGCGGCTTAGGGCTGAGCGGGTGCAGCTCCTCGCCCAGACTCACCGCCACGGCCTCCAGGTCATACCTCAACGGTTTAAGGTTAGGGTCTTCCCGAGGCTACCGGCGTAATGGTGCTTGGAGTTTAAAGCACGTATAAGGTTTACGGATCTTCTGCTTGGGCTGTAAAGTTTGGGTCTGCAGGCCACTATGAAAGGCTGGGGGTGTGGCCCGGATTCGGTTTGGGGCCTGCTGCTTGCTTGCTTGCAAACATGATATGCCCTTGCCGCTTCATGACAACAGATTCGGAAGGGCCCGCATGAACCCTATTGGAGCTCGCCCGGCCAGGTTCCCCGCAGCACATCGCACTCGTACGCACAATCCTCATGCTAATCCCTGAACTCAAAACCCTCACTCGATGTGACACATTCGGGGCTTCAGGATATGCTCACGTTGGGTTCAGAAATTCCGGTTTCAAGCATTCGGCATATGATAGGTTAAACGATGTTGAGCCTAATGCTGATGTTCAGACAAAAACGGTGATGGAGGCAAGCCTACTGGCTTCCCAGCATCGCACTCGAAGTGAGTATTGCGACGCAGTGACTCCTGTTTTCAAACTAAACTCATTGGTGTCTGAAGCACTTCAGGCGTTGGGGTTGTGGCTAATTATGGAGTTTATGGTCCGGGGTTCAAAGTTTTAGGGCAGCATGTAGCCATCCGCAAGTAAACCCAAACAGGGCTTTGCTCTAAGTGGTAGCGGCCGGCATCGGTTGATCTAGAAAGTGTTCAATGCTAACGCGAAAACCTCTAGACAAGCACGGCGGAAACCTACCTTGCTCTCGAGAGGAGTCTTTATACTTAGAACAGGAGCTTGCAGAAGGGAGTACTATGCCCAACTGATATAGGGGCCTTAACAATTAGAATAGGGTTTTGGTGAATATTATACTATAACTATAATGAGGAACCACCAAAATAGTACAGGTAATTACAGTATTTTAAGGCCCCTATACTACTCAGAACCTTGTTTCTTCAGACTCCAATGGTTCCCATCTCTTGCGGACTTTGGGGTAGCGTCCCAATCAGGCGGTAACGAGTGCTTCATTTGACACAGGCATCTCCACCGAGGAAGCCCTGGCGAGCATGGCAAACAAAAGTTGCAGAACACAGAAGGTAACTAATGCAGTAGGGTCCTTAACGAGTAGAATGTGGGTTGTGGTGGGAAGGGGTGGAATCAGGCATTCCCATCCGAACTCGAATCTTCGAGTCGATCGTTTCTTTACACGGTACAAGTTTGCCATAAAAAGACTGGTGCCTAAACCCAAACCGAACCGCTCACCTCACTCATTGCCCAGATTGTCTCAAAAAAGTTGCTCCAGCTTGGGCCACGGTCGTGGGCGGATGGCCACGAAGGTGGTTTTGTGTCTCAGCTTTACAAGAAATTGAAGGTCATGTCGGGTTAAGACTTTAGGGCTTCACAAGGGTTGGAGACTGCAGGGATTGGAGTCCGCTGTGGAGAGTTCAATTTGTAGGGCTTGCTTCTAACCCTTCCTTTGCCCTTCCTGAAAGGCTTTTCGTTGTGCCTCGACTTGGGAGCATGCAGTCTCTCAACATCAGGGAAGGTTGTTAGGTGGCTGATTCTTGTTGCTTGCCGTTCGGCGGCTTTGACGCGATCGGGTCAATGTTTTACGTGTCTAGGAGGTTTTCAATATGCTCTCGACTGTTGAGCAAGGGTTTTGCATCCGAAGGTTGCTGAGGGTTTCACAGGTTGGGGCAGCGAACACCACCCAATGAAAAGAACGCCACATTTGAGGCCCCCGGGGATTCTCAAAAAGACGGACCGCAGTCAGGGTGAACTCTCAAGGGTCCAAGGACCAAAGAACCCACTCCAGGCTAACTCAAAGCATTGGAACAGACTCCACAACACTTCCTCGGGGGTGTTGCAGGAGATGGTGTTGCTGCGTGCTGAGGCGGCTTCTAAAGTAGGAGTGCGTTGGCACCGGGCTGTTCTTGCAGCTTCAACATGCCGAAGCCTGCACCTTAGAATGCAGCCTCTGGCCCTAAGGAATCCAAGGTAGAGTGTTTCAAAAGTTTGAGTCAGGGCACTTCTTGTGTGCTTGCCAAGCCGTGACGATGCAGACGGCGCCATCCTCAACTTCAGCTCTTGGACTGTCCATGCATTTAGCAGGTACAGCCAAAAAAGGGATTCCCCGATGTAGCGGAAAAAAGCTAAAGGCTCCGGAGCTAAGGGTTTACGGCTTTGACCTCAGACGGGTGTGCCATCCTTTAAAACAAAGCAGAACACCGAAGAGCCCTCAACTCTTCCATCGTCTCATTGAGCCCGAGTGGGCCCTGTCCTGCCCGAAGAACTTGTCATCGGCGACGGAGACGCCTCCGTTTGCCCCGCTTGGAGCCGTGTAACCTCGGGGCTATGGGATCTTGGGCTTCACCTTCAGAATGGTGCTGGATCAAAATGTTCCGACCATAGCGGCCGCTCCTGCTACAAGGATTGGGTCGTATTGCAAACCGTGTAACACTAGTGCAACTTACTCCTAAACCCTAAACCCTAGAGCTGATGAGCCTGCTTTTTTGTCAACCGCGGGCTGACCCTGGGACTTGATGCCGTCTCCGTATTCGCACATAGATTCAAGGATGCACTGGCCGCTGCCTCCCTGTACATACTCCATGTAAGTTTCTCCCCAAGCCGTCCCAAATTAGCCGACCCAATCTCGACCAGCCAGAAGCTACTTGCGTCGAATGCTCCTGTAAATTCGATATGAGCATGTTGAGGTGCAGAACGTAAGAAACCCAAGCAGCTCAAGGTGCCATCGGATTCCACAATGCTCAGCCAGCTGACCTGTGGCTTGGGAGGCTGAAAAAAAAAGCCTGCCGGTTCAGAGCAGATCTCGACTCTCCGGCTCGCATAAGGCAGCTTCAGAGAATCGGGCATAGTGTCTTTCCTGCCTGCAATCCGAAGACGCAAATCAGAAGTTACAAGGCCTATACTCCTACAGCACCGTCCCACCTCGGGCGCGCAGCCAAGTTCCTTTGAGATTAAGGGTGCAGCTTGGAGGCTCTGTGACCCAGCAGAAGAAGGTGGCATAGTATTGCAGGAAGCGGTGCTATTTCTCAGTAAGGGAAGCATAGCTACCGTACTTAAAGCAGTGCTGCTTAGTCCCCTGATCCTGTAGATGAACACTTTTCTACCCTTACATATCCTGACTCTAAGACAAGGGCCCCGTGTTGTGGATTGAGGTCTTCACCGCGACTCCGGTGGAGTATTTTCAAAGAATTTGCTGCCGGTGGGTCTTAGGGCTTCGAGAATGCATGATTTCAACTTGAGGATAACATCCGAAACCCTAAACCCTTCAATTGTGATGCGCCCAAAAACCCTAAACCCTAAACCCCTAAACCCTAAACCCTAAACCCTAAACCCCTAAACCCTAAACCCCTAAACCAAGATCCGAGACCAAGTCTCAAACTTCGACCAGCCTGTTCCGGTCGTCTGTGGAACCTCCTTCTTACTGTCGTCGTGGAAAAGCAGCGTGGCTGAGCCTCGGCCGGGCTGCAATTCTTGGGATGAATGCTGGGTTTAGGGTTTAGGGGTGTGCTTGGAGGCTCAGGGGCGTCACAAGTGGGGTTTATAGAAGTCCCCTAACATGGGGATTTAATTAGAGTCACCCTACTTCTGACCCCATGTATAACTACCCACGAACCTCCAAGTAGGTAGGCTGCTGGCTTTAAGGCTTGAGATTCAATTTCTAAGGCCGAGGGGTGAAGGTGGCTGCAGTTTCTTCATCCAGCTACTCTCTACCCTGGGAGAAGCCCATGAAGAATTCACATGAAAACTAGTAGTAGTAGTAGTAGTAGTAGTAGTACTAGTAGTAGTAGTAGTAGTAGTAGTAGTAGTCGTCTTGGTAATGGTGGTCATGGTGGTACTGAAAGCTACACGTACTCCCAAATCTACACGGCCGGACCCTCTGTTCAAAGTACCCACCCTTCAGAACATTGAAGGGCTCGCTGCAGGATACTTCGGAACAAAAGTCTTGGTAGAGAGTATCGGCGCTTGTTTTGGTCCACTGGTGACAAGCACCCTAATAGTTTCCAAATTTGAGTGCCTATGGTTCTTTCAGCGGAATCCAACTCGTAACGGTGAAGTGAACCCGAAAATGCTGAAACCCTGAACCTTGCAAGCCCCAAAGCGAACGCCAAGGCCATTCAAACTCGCAGCTGTAGCTGAGCACGTCCGCCGCGATCGTCACCACTGAAGCCAGACTCACACCAGGTGCCTGGTGGGCCGTGACCTCGCACTCGAAGGAGAAAGCCTGCAAGATGCGGGGCTTTAGGATTCGGGCGCTCTTTTCGGGGTCTTGGCTATGTTCATTCGGGCTTTGGGCCGCAGGGCCACGAGCTGGGCAGCTTCAAGACGAAGCAAGCTTTCTGAATCTCTCGGTCTCCTGACCCCAAACTCGAAAACCCTCAACCCTGCAGCTTCTCATCGGGCTCAACGCTCGGGTTCTGCAGGTTCTCAAGACCATGGGATCTAGTCGGAACGAAGGGCTTGGCTTGTTTTGTGGTGGCTTTGAAAACCCCCAAACTCTACACTTCAAGACCGTCAAGGCCACAAGGACAAGACCATGCAGGAGCTGCCTCGATGGGCTTGGCCCGCCCGGGCATGTAGGAGATCTCGCCTGCGACGGCTCTTGCGAGTTCGAGCGCCCCAAACCCTAAACCCTAAACTCTAAAGCCTAAAGCCCTAAACTCTAAAGCCCTAAACCCTAAACCCTAAAGCCTAAAACCCGAACTCCCTGACCTAAGGTCTACACACACCGGCCGGAGACTTCGAACAGCCCCCAGAGCCGAAATCCCACAAACCCGCTAGGTCCTAAGCTCCAAAAGCCCCCGAAATCTCAAAAAAAACCCTCCGGAAGCCCTCAACCCCTCAAGTCTTAAGACCCCAAAAGCCCCAAAGCCCTAAACCCTGAAATCTTATAAAGATACCAATACCAATACGAATACGAATACTAATATTAACACTAATGCATACTTCTTGCTAATGCTAATACTAATACTACTGCTAACTAGTTCTAATGCGGATACTGATAGTAATGCTGAAAACTTCTTGAAGCTCTCCTGTAGAGCTGTCCATGGTCAGGTTGTGCGCCGCCAGCTCGCACTTTGCATCCACGGTGTAGCGCTCGGCCGTGCGCGGTTCGGGCATCATCACCTGGAGCCGCAATTCAACGTCTACGCGCCAATCTTACAGATGTTTATGTTGGAGAGGGAAGGGGAGGGAGGGAGGGAGGGAGGGAGGGAGGGAGGGAGGGGAGGGAGGGAGGGAGGGAGGGAGGGATGGAGGGATGGAGTGACGGAGGGAGCCAGATGCGAGCTGATCAGGCG